TTATTTATTAAAGATTCACATGGAAATACCAAAAGGCTCAAATTGAAGACTAGAGAAGCATTAAGTTTACCTCAGGGAGAACGTGTTGTGGTGGAGTTTGATGGCAAGGATCCGATTGGCGAAGCACAAGGCCTTCTAGCAGGCGTATGTGGCCTTTTAGCAACTGACTGTACCATATTTCCAATTGGTTTTGATAAATGGCCGTATATGCCTAAGTCATACTTTAACGACTGCTTTAATAACATTATAAAGGTATAAGTTCTAGATCTTTATAACTATATCTCTATTTTGTTTTTTTTTATTTTTTTATATTTGTATATAAAAGATAAACTAACCAAAATTTATTTTTGAAGTCTCATTTTTGTTTTATGACCATTGAGGAAGTTGCACGAGGATATGTTTATAGCTCTATTTCAAAGAAGTGGGCTTCAAGTAGGCAGAAGTTGTGGGATGAGTTTAAAGACCCACTTAAAACCAAAGATGAGATTATGGATAATGTTTCGATAGGTATTAGTCGGGATCAATGGACTATCTTTGTGAACTACCGTTGTAAAGAAGAAACTCAGGTATTTTTCTGAAACGTCACATTGAAATGCATATAAATATGAGTATTTATTTATATAATTGACTGAAATGTATCTTATTGTTAGAACATGTGTAAAAGAAATGCTGAAAATCGGAAGAAGCAAATAGTTCCACACACCGGTGGCTCCAAACCTAATTCTAGAAGAAGGGCTGAAATGGTGAAAGATGTCACATTATATACCTTACTTTACTATTTAAATTTTAGATATTGTATCTATTTTTTTTACTTTAATTAAACTATTCTGACTTATTTTTGTTTTCATGCATAGATGGCTGAGACAGGAAGTAAGCCTGGACGAGCACAACTTTATCTTGCTACACATACGAAAAAAGATGGATCATATGTAAATGAGGAGGCAAAAGAAATATGTATAAGTTACAATAACCAAGAATGTCTTTTTGTCCATACTTTCTCCAACTATATCCATCATCAGTAGGCCCTTCAAATCCATTCTCTACACTAAGGGTGATTTTTTTATTTTTAGTTATGGTTCAACTATATCCATCATCAGTAGGCCCTTCATATTTTTATTTTTATTTTTAGTCTTGTTGTTGTTGTTGTTGTCGTTGTTATGGTTTAGATAGCTCATCAAATCCAACTCTCACATCTCATCAGTTGGTGCGAGAATTTTGTATCAGATACATTAAAATGTTTAAGGGGGAAATATAAGCATTTTTGCTGCCACATGCTTGCAAATTCCTCCTTTTCTTCTCTTAAATAACTGTAGTTATGACTGTTATGCTCCATAAAGAGGATGTGTTTAGTCTCAAGCATCTTCGTCAATACTCCATTTGCCCCGTTGAGGGGATTGGGTGTGGGGAGGGGGGGTTGATTTAACTTTTAAGCATTAACGGTGTAGAGAATTTTCACTTGATCAGTGTATTTTCACATGTAGCAGATAGTTTACAAAATGAAGTCCTTCCATTTTGTTTTGTTCTTAGTTAAATACTAGATAAAGATAAATCAGAGATGAATACTATGATAATTTCCTGTTTTATCATTTGCCACAGTCTGAGTTTAACTTTTTCTTTTCCAATTTGAGCTTCATTTTGATACTGTGTACTGTAATGTAGATTTGACATCTTCCTTTTTCTTTTTTTTTTTTTTTTGACATAGCTCGTGTACAACTATAATAAGATTATATAATGTTGGCTCAGATTTTTTTCAACTGTATAATGTTGGCTCAGATTTTTTTTATGTGTATTGTGTTTAGGAAAAAATTGAGCTAGCAGTGAGTGAAAGTACGGTGGATGAGTCTGAAATTTCTCCAAATGATGCTGTTGGTAAGGTGCTAGGCAAAGAGCATCCTGGAAGGGTGAGATGTTTGTGATTAGGAGCTACTCCAAGCAATACTTTCAAAGAGACAAATCTTCGTCTTGGTAATATTTGAATTGTGCGTAATAATGTTGGATGTTCTTCTTCTGGATGTCAAGAGAAGTATAATCAATTGATGAATACTCTCAAAGCATACATGATAATGAAAGAAGGGTCAATACCAGAACAATTTGCTGGGATCTTTGCATCTCCTCCTACAACAGTAAATGCTAAGTTCTTTTTTTGGTGTATTGTGCAATTTTATTTTTTATACTTGTCAATTTCAGCTCTAAAACCAGCTAGTATTACACAATTTTACTTCAAGTCAGCCCCCAAACCTGCAGAAAACCAAATGATTCATATTTCTTTGTTCAAAAGATATGTTGAATGCCTTAAATTCGTAGAAACAATAGCTAAATTCTTAGTCATGAATAATGTTGGACTAATTGCATCTTTATTCTGATGTACTGGTGGTGCTTTTCCTTTTAAGACATTTAAAATGCATGTTCCCTCATTCGTCACTGACTTATTAGGATTAGTTGAACTTTCTATGAAGATTAAGTCCAGCGACAAACAAGATCATGACCTAAAATCTATCATAAGTGTATAACATTCTTACAATTATGTATAACAGAACATTCTGGTCGAAATTAGAGGATAGTAATTCAAAAGGAAGAAAGTAATAAGTATACATGTAATCTGCCATAAGTGTTGTATCTCTAA